TGAGTCACCACTTGATATGCTTCATCAAGTGAAGGAAGTGGATCCCGAGACAACAAAGAAGATTTGACAGCCCCAAAAATCGCCTCATCCAAGCCCATCAAGAACTGATGCAGTTTGTCTTCTTCACGCTCTTGTGCGATTTCCTCCATTGTTTTAGCTCTCTGAAATCCAACAAGCTTGTCCACAATCGTGTGAGTTTGCCGTAATAAGCTTCAACAGCCAATCCCTTTTGCTGACAAGTAGCTAATTCAGCCTTAAGACGCTGAACTCGTTGCCCGTTCTTCACCGAGAAACGTTTCTTGATGTGTGTCCAGAGATCATAAGCAATCTCATGATGAGACAAATAACTGCTCAAATCCGGAGCCACCGTAAGTTTAATCCAAGAGACCACCATCGCATTATTCGCCCACCAATCTTCAATATCCTCAGAGTCGTCGTCCGGTTTGGGTATAGTACCGTCCACAAACCCAAATTTCTTCCTAGCACGCAACGCCAAACGAATGTTCAACGACCATTCATCATAATTCGGACCACGAAGCTGAGGTTGGGAAATCACTGAACCAGGGTTGTCGCCGGAAGAGAGATCATATGGATCAATACGTCTCCTTGTTCAAACAACACGTCCGCTGCTCTTAACAACAGAAGACTCCTCTCGCAAGATCGAATCATCAGAAGCCATAGAAGAGTAGATCGATTAAGAATAGATCGAAGTACTTAGGTCAAAGAAGAGATTAAGAACAGAACTTTAGAGATAAAAGAGTAACGAATCGTATGCCTAAAAACTTAGGTTTTGCTCTGATACCATGTCAAGAAACCTAGTTTAGTATAAAGGATTTCTTAGTTTATTTCATCGAAGGCTTAGCCTTTATATACTTACATAAGATTAAACCTAAGTACTAATTACACAATTATACTAAGACAATATAATATTTACATATCGAGCTACTCCTCATCCAATACATCGGTCCAGTGTTGTGGAGTTGCTACCACATGATGTTGTTGAGCTCATCCTCGAGAGGCTTCATGTGAAATTTCTGTTGAGGTACAAGTCAATCTAGTATTGAGTCCCAACGTTTCCAGGAAAGACAGTTTATCCGTCATAGACAATCCCGAAGTCGAGATGCTCTTTTCGTGTCCCGTGGTGATGATGAAGCTGAAACTCAAAGGATGAGAATAATCCTGGGTTCGTCCATAGTTGCTACCGTTAGGTTCCCTAGTTCTTGCAAGTTGGTTTGCCATTGTAGTTGTGACGGCATGATATGCCTTTACAGTATCGACACACCAAGTTTCGTGGTAAATCCTACTACTAGATAGCATCCTACTACTAGATGGCATTCAAATGCTCATTTTTGACAGCATAAGATTAAAGGAACGATTGAAAACCCTTATGTAATTCATCCGAAAATGGCCTAGACAACATTACCGCTTGTATAGTTTTCGACTTCAGCACGAACGCTTGGAGGTACCTTTTCTATGCTTCTCCTTATCGAATTCTTGCTAACTATTTTCCGGTGTATTAAGATGCGTCACTTTACTGGTTCACTGAGTGTGAAGAAACAAAGGTTTTATCTTTCGATCGTTATACCGAAACTTTTCAAGTCATCTCAAAAAGTCCCTTTCCCCATGTGCGTGACCCTCACGACTTCACCATGTGGATCCTCGATAACTGCTTGAGCGTGTCCGAGAAAAATTGGCTCACCCAAGTCATATGGACGCTTGACCCTTCAGGGGGCAACGAGCCATGGAAAAAATTGGGCTTGATAGATCTCTCGGAAACCTTTATGTGGTTGGAAGAACCGGAAGGCACCCTCGATCCAGTAGCAATTCTGGACAAGTTTAAGTTATTACTTCATGGTCGTACGCACTTGCAACCAGTGATCATACATGACCTCGATACCAAATCTTATGAGGTACTTTTCACGCCTACCACCAACGGATATTGGGTGTATTACTTGTCAAGTTTATTCTCTGCTTTATCAAATTAGTTTTTGTGTTTCTTTTCTTTTATTTATACTGCTTAATTAGTTGTAATTTAACATTTTCTTCATTTTAGTTTAAAGATGATTTTTGGCTACAAAAAAAGAAAAAGAAATGTATGTCACTGAATATAAATATTCAAATTTTGACTAAAAATTTTGACCCGTTACTTAGATTACTTACAATGGTTACTTTTTAAACTATTAAATCACTACAATGGTATTTTTAAAACCAAAAAAATGATGACATGGCCACAATATAGTGGGTCTCACTGCACCACATGACATATAATGAATGGATACTTTTTAAATATATGATAATATATAGATAAGGACATATGTTATGTTTTTATTGAATGTTTTGATTTTGGATATTTTTTATCCAACCCAATTATTTGAGATCAATTATAATATAATATTTATTTTTATTTTTTATTTTTATACCAAAATTCATAATTTTTCATACTCTATAAATAGAGACTTGTTCACTTAATTCGGACACAAAAAAAAATAAACCATATTTTCTTGTTAATGTATGGGTTTATAATAAAACTTTTATTAATGACTATTTGTATTTCTAATTTTTATTATTTGCAAAATAAAAAGAATTTATAAATTATTGAGAAATATTTTATAAATTATTAAATATTTACTTATTTTAATTTTATTTAATATTAACAATGATTAATAATATGTAATCATAACAATCATAAATAAAATGAAAAATATGAAATAGAAATAGTTAGTAAGGTGTTGTAAGATTATGAAACAAAACCATTGTTGAGTATAAAAATGGAGTGTTAAAAGTTAAAAAGTGGGTGTTGTAAACATCAAACCATTGTGGATAGTCAAAATTTGTGTTAAATATATGTTTCATTAATATAAATATACTACTCAAGTTTAACTTTTTGACCCGTTACAATTTATTAATTATAAAATGAACAATCTCTATTCAGTTCTAAAAATTCAAATAATGGAATATGCGGAAAAACTACAATTTTATTATATAAGTGATGTGATGAGTTATTTATCCCTTATTTATTTCAAAAATGTTATCATATAAATATGAAATGTGAAATATAATTATTAACTAGAGGATAACCCGTGCTACCGCACGGATGACATTTTCTCAAAGCGTTAATAAAATTGTATTTCTTTTAAATTTTTCTTATCTAAGATAGTGTTTGTTTTTTCATATCGTAAGTGTTTAGCAAATAAGATATTTTCAGTTTTGGACATGTTTGGTCAGTTCGACTGATTAATTTACGATCCGAACATTAGATACTTTTTCGATTTGAGTTTAATGCTGATAACTGGTAATCTTAAAAACAAAAAAAAACTGCCATTAACCCATGACCCTATGAACCGGCCAGATTTTGATTTATAAAATCTATATGAATTGGAAGTAAAATATAGAATTTTAATTATTTTCAGAAATTATAACATTTTTATTATTTGTCAAACAAAAATAAATATAACAAATTTGGTTATCATAAACCCGTGAGAAAGTTTTATTTTCAAAATAAATTAAGAATTTTACAAATATAGATTGTGAATTTTGATATTAATTTACTTCTTCACAATATATTTCTAATAAATATTATAAAATGTAATATTTATAGTTTCAGTTTCACGTATTCAAAATTTGATAAGCAAAAATAAAATCAGTTCGATATTTTTTTAAAAAAAAGTTTCTGAAAATGTGACTAATTAAACTTTTGTGTTTTTAATCATAAATGCTTTATTTATAGGGAGAGATGGAGTTAATGGGAAAATTATGTTTATAATTTTAGAGCTACGATTTTGAATAGAAATACATTTTGATCAATGAATATACATACTTGACCCTGTTCATACAAACTAAAAATGAACATATTTTATACAAACTGGAAAATGTTTAAAACTATTTAAAAACAATCAAACAATAAAATATTATAATAAAAACACTAAACAATTAATAAAAAAAGCTTTATGATGATAAAGAAAAGTAAAATTGCTACGCTAATTCAATATTTTGAATGTATTTTTGTTTGTGTTTATCGAATTGTTGTGATTAGTTGTTGTGAATGAGAAGTATTTATAGTGTTTTGAGGAGATTCCAAGATATGATGTGCTGCATGAGTAGAGATAATCTTGGTGAGCAAGTTTTTAAAAATATTAAGATTGTGATTTTGTTTCTAGTAGAATTTAGAAAGTAGTTAAAGAATATGCTAATAATATGCTGAATAACTTAATTGATTAACAAAATACACTTAAATGCCGTATATTCTATAATTTGTATAGAATTAAATGCCATATTTTGTTATAGAATTATTAGGATCTCGATTGGATTAACATATTTAATGATTAACATATTATTAATAATAATATAATTAAAGCTAAAATTTAGAGATTTTTATTCCCTAAAATGTAGCCATTCTGATTAAATTTAGGTAAAGTTTTAATTGATTAACAATTCGATAAGATACAATATTGAATGTTGTTAATCAAATCTTTTAAAATGAACGCTTAAGATTTGATCTTTAGATTAACGACTATGATTTAATAATTAAACCCGATTAATAGATCCATTAATTTTAAAAGATCCGCGTGTGTAACCCAATTAGCATTGTATTTTATTTCATTTGAAAAGATTAGTGTAAAAAAATGGGTACTTCAGCTTTAATAGTATAGATAATAAATTAATATGATAAGCTAGATATCAAATCTTATATGTTTATTTTGATTAGTTATTCACTAAAAAATATATATATAATTTTCATTTTATAATTTAATTAAATTTAATAAATTAGTATTTGATATTTGTAACGTTAATTCATTCTATAACATTTATAGTGTATTTCCCCTTTACCGATGAGAGGATTTACTAAAACGTGGTTATCAATTGAGAAATTCCCTAAACTAGCAACATTTAACTTCTTCTTCCACAAATATCGTACACTCTATAATCTTACATTAATACCATTAGTTTTAAAGTAAACAGACTAAAAAGCCCTTATGTATACATAACTTTTTGCATTTGCTTAACACAAATCGGCGACAAGAAAATCCGACGATGAGCGCCAGTGGGGTTCCAATTTGTGTCCGCCCGCCAGTTTGTGTGTCACTATCTTCTTCACGCTTCTGTGTTGATATCTTCTTCACTCGTCGTCGTAAGTTTTGCTTATTCAATGTGTTTTTGTTTAGAATGTTTTTGCTTTTGGATTTGATTATGTACGATTTGGGAAGCGATTAGGTGATTACTGGATTTGAGAATTGTCATTAAGCTGGTGATTTTGTGTTTGTGCTTTGGATTTGAATCAATTTGGCGATTTTGAATGATGACAACACCTAATCAAAACACAGTGAAGAATCGTGTTTATGTTTTGGATTTAAGCTTCGATTTGTTAGTTTGATTAGATTGTAGAGATTTTTTTTGGTTTTGGATTTGATTAGGTCTTGTTTTGGGAAGCTATTATGTGATTTTATGGATTTGCAAACTGTCTTTGAGCTGGTTTTTATGTGTTTGTGTTTTGGATTTTAATCAATCTAGTGATTTTGAATGATGAAAACACCTAATCAAAACACAGTGTAAAATCGTGTTTGTGCTTTGGATTAACTTCGATTTGATTATTGATTAGATTGTAGAGACTGTTTTTGCTTTTGGATTTGATTAGGTTTGATTTGGGAAGCGATTATGTAATTTTCTGGATTCGAGAACTGTTATTAAGCTGGGGTTTATGTGCGATTATGTGTTTGTGCTGTTGATTAGGACTGTTTGTGTTGCTGTGGATTAGGATTGTTTGTGTTGCTATGGATTAGGACTGTTTGTGTTGCTATGGATTGGGATTGTTTGTGTTGAGGTGGATTATGTGTGTTTTGTTTTGCTATGGATTTTTGTATATTTGTTTGTGTTTTGTGTGGATTTGAGAACTAATCTATCAATCAGGATTTTGTGAAATCTAGGTGGTGATTTTGGTCATTCTCGTGGATATGGTTGAGTTGTATTCAATTTGTGGTGAGTAAATGCAAAACGATAATGGAAGCTGGGATTTCGTTTTTGATTCGCAAAAGGGTGGATCCCTTACTGCAGTTATTGTAAATATAACTTATAAGGATTTAGTTGAGATGGTCATAGAAGATTTTGGTCTAGATTGTGTGATGAAAGAGCTAAAACTAAGCTATGCGCTCTCTCCAAGTTTGATAATGAAAGATCCTCCGCCTTTGTATTTGCGAAGTTTTGTTTTCCTGTGGATTTTTGTATATTTGTTTGTGGTTTGTGTGGATTTTAGAACTAATCTATCAATCTGGACTTGGTGAAGCCTAGGTGGTGATTTTGGTCATTCTCGTGGATATGGTTAAGCTGTATTCAGTTTGTGGTGAGTGGATGCAAAACTTGTAGCTGGAAACTTCGTCATGCGAAGGTGTAATTCTCTGATTTTTTTTTTGTCCTGAAGCACTACGATTCACGAACATAACTGTAATACAACATGTAAGCATGCAAATGATCATCAAGCTACTGCAAAGTTGTTGGGTTCTTTTCTTTGCAGTCATTATCGGTAGAAGAAGACTGGACTGAAGCCAAAATAAATTTTAGAAAGGAATAGAATGTCATACGGTGTTCACACATATTATAAATAGGCATGGAGAGTAAAAGAGGCAGCTGAACTTTTGGTTAGAGGTACTCCTAATGACAGTTATCACAACATTGCAAAGTGGTTGTTTATGACCAAGGAACAAAATCATGGTTCAGTTGTGTATCTTGACGTTGATCCTCTTAATAATAAATTCAGGTATGTGTTTATAACATTTGGCCCGTCAATCAGAGGTTTTGCTTTGATGTGTAGAGTGATTGTTGTTGATGGTACCTTCTTGAAGGAAAAATTCAAGGGAACTTTTCTTGTAGCTACAGCTCAATATGGGGATTATCATCTATACATGTTAGCTTTTGCTATTGTCGATTCTGAAAAAGAAAAATCTTGGAGCTGGTTTTTTAGATGTCTTCAAACAATCGTTCCTGATTCAGCGGATTTGGTGTTCGTTTCTGATCGTGCTCCATCAATTACCAATTGCTCTTTCAGAATTGTATCCAGCTTCCCACCATGGTATATGCATATTTCATCTTGGAAACAACATGAAAGTAAAGTTAAGAGGACAGTCTTATCTGCCACTTGTAGAATCTACTGCTAATGCTTATACTCAGGTAGAGTTTTCAAAACATTTCAGAGACATAGAAGTTGCGAATCTGTATTTGACTAAGTATTTGGAAGAAGAAGATTTCAGAAAATGGGGTCAATCTTATGCTCCTTCAAATCGCTACAATATAATGACTACTAACATTGCTGAATCTTTCAATTCATTGTTAAGTGAACCACGGGTGCTACTTAATGGTTTCACCAGAGATGTGCACTTTCTGCCAAGCACAACAAGCGTGTCACTCCTAAAGAGTCGAGATGTTGGTATCAAGATTCTCAGATGCTATGAAGATTGACGTCTTCCAAGTGGATGAAGATGAATTCGAGGTGAAAGATGATGTGAACAAGTTCATTGTTGAGGTAAAGAAAAGACAGTTTAGTTGTTGTGTCTTTGACATTGAAAACATATCGTGCATCCATGGGATTGCTGGAGCAAAGCGGTCCAATAGGGATGAGAATGAGTTTGTTAATGATAGTCATTTGACTTTTACTTGGGGCAAAGCTTATTCTGAGAGCGTACACCCAAATGGAGATGTACAGAATTGGATTTTCCCTGAATTGATTAGCAATTTCTTATGTGGTCCTCGAGGGAGTAAGCTTAGTAGTGGAAGACCGCTAAAAAGCGAATTCGCTTTAAGGGAGTGTTTGGCGTGCTGGGCTCAAAATCACAAAGTCAAAAATGCAGTAGATATGGACAAGGAGATTAAGAAAATGTCCTTAACATTCAACATACAAGTGATATATCATGGTTTTTACGGGTTTTTGGTCATGATATAAGTCTTATTTATAGAGCTTTTCTAGTGTTTTCGAGTCTTTTTGAGTCATTTCAGGATTAGGAACTATTTGACATGGATTGGAGCTTTTTGGAGCATTTTGGAGCATTTTGGAGCATTTGGAGAAGATGTGTCGAAGGAATGTATTAGGAAAGCATATTTGGTGTGAGTGTCGAGCGTCACAACTTCCGGTGTCGATCGACACCAATATCTGACGGCAATTGAATTTCTCGCTTAATTGAAGTTCAGAAGATTTGCAGATTCGGCCCAGAAGTTTTCCTTATTTGCAATTAAGCCCAGTTCGTGGTTAAGACATATATATGGAGTTTTTAGGGTTTTGTTAAGACTTAAGCTTTATTTTGGAGAGAGAGAGAGAGATTTGTAGAGAGTCAGGAGAGAAGAATCAAAACCTCCTTCAGAGAAGATTCAGAACTCCTTTATTTCTTCTATTACTTTCTTTTATGATATCTATTTTATTCATGATGTTTGTTTCATTCACCATGTCTGAGTAGATCTCTTGTTAGGTTTAGGGTTTTCAAAGGAATTCATGAATTGTTAGGTTGTTAGATTGTTCGGATTGAATCAATAGAGTTCTTCATCTAGATTGTGGTTAATTTGTTCTAGAGTAGTGAAAGCAACCTAGAATCTGATCTTAGGTTAATTGGTAGACACGAAAGTGTTATTGATTTCCTGAAAATAATCTAGATGAGCAAAATACCTATTCGCAAAGAGATTTGGTTTAGGGATTTTGTGAACTTATCAAACCTGAATTAAATGCATGTCTTAAACTTATAAATTTGCAAAGAGATTTGGAATTTAGGGTTCTAGACATAGATAGTCTTTGCAACGAAAGTTGACTGATTATATTTTTGTGATTTGAGTTCAAGAACGGTGCTTTATAAATCCTGACAATTATGTATTTGCAATTCTGAATTTCCTGAGAATATCCCTATGCCTAGTGTTTCCTCATTACTGTTTAAAAACCAATCTTTATTTTAATTTGCTGTTTTTATTTGATTTAAAACCTGCTTGCTTAGCTTAATTTTAATACCGAATATTTACTCTGTAATCTTTGAGTCTCTGTGGATTCGATCCCTAAGTACTACAGTGATCTCTTAATTGAGAGAGTAGCTCAGGGCAAATTTGAGCAGATCAAATTTTGGCGCCGCTGCCGGGGACTCAAT